AAAATTAAGATATTTTTGATGGAATCTGAGAGCTGTCTGACCCTGCATAGACAGCAACGCAACTGAAATGTTCTCAAAGTATTCTCGTAGCTTCATATAATTGCGGTTGAACCACTGATGTCACATGGATTATTTTAAAGATCTCCTTGCTACGTTTCTGGACTTGGGAACATTTCAGTTGTGTTGCTGTTTATGCAGGGTCAGACAGCTCTCAGATTCCATCAAAAATATCTTAATTTGTGTTCCGAAGATGAACAAAGGTCTTACAGGTTTGAAACGACATGAGGGTGAGTAATTAATGACAGAATTTTCATTTTTGGGTGAACTATCACTTTAAAGCAAAGCCTGATCACCACGTGTACATTCAGTTATTCAGTGTTTTGCCATTGAAAAGCCAGTGCCGGCCAGCTTAGCCTTCCCATTAAGACAAAATTCACAGTGAAATCTGACATTTTGAAACAATTTCTTTGGTGCAGTTTTACTGATAGGAATTGCAACACAGAGACGCAGTGGTGCAGTAATACTGATGTAATGAGGTCAATGAGGTCTAAAGTAATTTACAATGGCTTTGAATACATCTCAACCAATCATAATCAACTATCCATTTTGTAAATCACAACTGAAAGCTGCACATGTCCATATCTTAAGAATCAATAACTTAAGAATAACGAACAATAAATAAACTACTAATATTAATCATCATCATCATTATATTAATTAAAAAATCAAAGTAATTGTCTTACCATATTATTTTAATGTATTATCTTAATTATGAACACACTGGTTTGTAGTGCAAACAGTTTTACCATGCATTTACTGGGTCACTCCTGGGATTCTGAGTTTTTAAAGTGGTCTTTACCAAATTGAATTGTTCAAAGCTTTTCACAATACTTTGGTATGCCTGTTATGATGAATAAAAATAATTACCTACAGCGGCTAATGAACTGGAAATCTTGCCCATAGGCTTACTTCCACGTTGAAGAAAAAGGTGGATAAAGGTGCATTTTATTACTAAACTAACAGAATGGAATATGCTATGTTGTTTGCTTCAGTCCTAAATGGTAAATATAACCAATCATTATCAGAGGTAAACATTCCAGCCAATCAGCTTTCATTATCATGTGAATGCGCCATCAAATCTGCTAGTGGTTAATACAACAGGTGCTGTGAATCTTTTTAACATTTAGGGCCCTATTTTAACGATCTAAGCGCATGGTCTAAAGTGCACGGCGCAGGTGCACTTAGGGCGTGTCCAAATCCACTTTTGCTAGTTTAACGACGGGAAAAGCGGTCGGCGCGCCCGGCGCATGGTCTAAAAGGGTTGTCCCTATTCTCTTAATGAGTAATGGGTGTGTTTTGGGCATAATAAACTGTGTTTGGTGCAATAAACCAATCAGAGTCTCATCTCCCATTCCCTTTAAGAGCCAATTGCGCTCGTGCCATGGTGGATTTGCTATTTACACGGCAGAATTTGCAAGCGCAAAGACAGAACGCGTCTCCAGAGATGAAACGGAGCTGCTCGTGCGTGAGCAAATAGGTAGCCTAATTCTGATACATGCAGTGACTATCCATTATGACATGTAGGCATTTTTATATTTATGTAGCCTACACAATAATAATCTTTTACATTGCAATCCTTTAATTTTTCATATTTGGCGTCCCTGTGTGTGTAATATGCAGAGTGTACGCGCGCTGTGGACCCTCATATACTAACGCGCTCTTTAAATAACAAAAAAACTACTGCACCATTGACTTTAGACCAGGTTTTTGTTGGTCTATGGCACAGTCTATTTCAGTTGCCTCAGAATAGCAATGTGCCAGCAATGCTCCTGAACACACCTCGTTTTCAGACCAGCACGCCCATGGGTGCACAAATGGGTGCAAATTAATTTGCTATTTAAGCAACGTGGTGCAGGACATGAAAGTGACAACTGCGTCGCGCTGAAACTAGCAAAAAACACTTGCATCGCGCCTGGCGCCGCATTGTGCCAGGTGTATGATAGGGCCCTTAAACTGTAACAAAATATTGACCACTGAATGATGGGCCATAAATGGATGGAGTTTTTCTGCACATAGCTGAGTAAGATGTCAGATGGAGTGAGGACCTCCATTCATGTATGACGTTTATGATGGCCAAAGTCTGTATGTTCAATTTATGTATGTTCCAAGTCTGATCTTTATGCCCTTTTTCAGTTGTAGCTTGAACATGTATAAGTTTAGCGTTGTCCATCCTGCATATGCCACTGCGTTTTGCTCAATTAACTCATGTGGTCCTCTTGGGTCCTGTTGTTGTTTTAGCGACAGCAAAAGAAATCATATTTTACCTGAGTCGTTGTTCTTAGTCTGTATTGTTGCGATAAAAAGAGTACTGTGTTACTGTGAAATGGCAAGCAACATCTCTATGTTGAGTTGTCCCAAAGCGAATTACTCTTAAGAGTCGGTTCTTTTTTTGAATAAAAAAAGTACAGCATGAACAGCGTAGCTTTATTGCTGAAATAATTGATTCGTATGAGTCGGTTCTTTTCAGCAAATCAAAAAAGTACAGCGTGAACAGCGAAGCTTTATTGCTGAAACAATTGACTCGTATGAGTCGGTTCATTTTAGAGAATTAAAATCACAGTGGAAACAGTGTAGTCCAATTCATAAGTGACTCTTATGAGCTGGTTCTTTTTTTAGTGAATCACAAACATACATTGTGAACAGTTCGATTCATGAATAATTCTTATCAGTTGGTTCTTTTATTTGTTGGAAGGAAGGAAAGAAAGAAAGAAAGAAAAAGTCAGAATCATAATATTTATTAGCAGATAGAGAATATATATTTTATGTAAGCAAAATTAGATATTAGAACTAAAATATACCCAGATGGTTTTCTTGAGCTGAACAACATTGTCTTAAAAATTGAAGTCTTATCATCTTGTTCTCCCAAGGTTTCTTGCTCTTTATGTACACTTCTTAGGGAGTTTTTCTTTGCCACTGTCATTCTTCTTTGTTTTGCTAGTGGAGTAAGGCAATGAATGCACTTTGTAAAGCTGCTTGGAATGGTATGTATTAGGGCTGTCAAAAAAAAATCGAATTTTGAATATTCATCGAATTTTAAATAAAAATCCAAATTTTAGTTTGTGACATTTTAGAATTTTAGGTGTGCGTCAGGCAGCCAGCCTTAACAGTGGCACACGAAATGCGATGACGATGTAAGTGTCATTGCATTTTAATGCTTTTGTTAGCCTGTCCAGTTGGACCCACTAGATGCGGCGCTGCTACGTTGTTAATTCAAAATATTGCAGAAAAAGAGAACAATCAATGCGGGGAAGATCTTGTTTACGTCAAAACCGAAACCAAGCCGTTCACACAGAACGCATATTTATTGCATTTTCTAGAGGGACATCTATCACTGTTGCACTCGCGTCTCGCACAAGAGAGCCGCATGTTTAGAAAGCTATGTAAAATGAATGCGTTCAACTTTTAAAAAACATGTCTCAAGACTTTATTGCGGTTTTCCCCATCCCACTGCATCTCAAGTTTTTAAATGAAGAAAGTACTCTTTGTGATTGGTTTTCAGTCCTTTGTATTAAACTATACATACCTGCATGATGCTGTTTTGTTTCTAATTGTTTAAGCAAATTTATTAATTATATATGGTTTATAAACATTATTTTAAAGATTATGCACTTTTTTCAAAGATAGTCGTGTTATTTTATTATGCTTTGAAGAAACGTGCACGATTTTTTTTTTTGCTCGATGCGCCCTCTTGTGGCCTCAGGAGAGAAGCCAACAGCTTTTTCCCCCCTAACTGAAATGATGCCTTTTAAATTCGAATATAATTTGAATATTGATAATATTTAAGTAAAAAATTCGAATGTAGTTTTTCAGCCATTTTGACAGCCCTAGTATGTATTTGCAGTTGATTAATCGAATTAAACCAAATTTAGTCTTTGAATTTTTTTTTTACTCAAAAACTACAAATATAAATTCCAATTTAACACCTTCTGTTATTGCTTAGAAATGTAAAGTTTTAGCCCTAACCTTATATAACCCATATTTTTGACACTAATAACAAACCTTTTTGTAAATTCAAGCTACCATTTATCCTCATTATTTCTGCTATCTAATTCCATGTTGCAGAGCAAGGATTTGTCCAGCTGTAACAGAATAACATGAAACCAGGGAGATCCTAAAAGGGCTGAGACAAGAAAAGAAGTTTCTAGGTGGCTCAGATTGGCTCGCCTTTCATGTGGGTCCAAATTGGAGTCAGTGTAGGCAGGGAGGGGCAAGGGGGAGCTCGCAGTCCTCATTAGGCCCCTCTCTCTCCTCAGGCTGACCAGTTTCCAGGCCTGTAATGAGCTGGACATTATGCACAGCAGAGGGGGGAAAGCAGGTGAGCTGCTTGTGTGTCAGAGAAACATCACATCCAAATGCTTCATAATGAGAGCCAAATCCTGGCCCACGATGACCTATCTGACAGCACAATATCTGTGAATGATGCCTTAATTATATGAATTGACTCATCTTAGTGTTTTTGTTAGAGGTTCAAGAGACACTGTTTTGCTCTGATATCTTGCCACTGTTGGTCCTGGGATTTTGTAGGTCAGTGCAATGCATGAATGAGCATTTGAACTTAGCGGGGGTAACAATTTTGGTTTCTTTATGAGAAGTTCAGTGTTCTACTCTCCATCCTAATTTAACTATGCATTTGAATAAACCAATATTGCCATTTTAAGTCTGTGGCTGTATGTCAAAAGCAGGGTTCCCATTTTGTTGTGCGATTTCACCTGATATCATTACAAACCTGACTTTCTTTCTTTCATGGAATGCTAAAGATGAACACTAAAGTCATTATTCCCTGAAGAGTTTGACATCTGCCCTAGCTCTTCTGGGTGTGTTCATGAATATGAATGTAGCAGTGTCATATTTGTGAACGAATCTTTAAAAAAGGTTTTGTGAACTGATTTAACTGATTCATTGAAAAGATCTGGTTTGAAAGAGGTTTCGTCCATGAATCAGACACCATTGCTACTCTCATGAAGGACATGAAGGGCAAATGTCAAGATTTTTTGTGAAAATCTATTTAGACTTCAGTCCCTTTCTTTCCCAAAGTTGACTACATAGCAAATGAATCGTATAAACTGCTTTTATGGTGCTTTTTTAGTATATTCTTCAAAATTTCATAAAAGGAAGGAAGTGTCAAGCGGGTAAATAAATAACGACAGAAGTTTTGGTATGATCTGTTTTTTTAAGAATCATCACTGTTTTATCCACGGATTGATAACCCTCATTGTCCCCTTGAGAAGAATTTAGTTAGTAGTCGATCAGGTAATATCCAGGAGGTTTTTAGTGAGATCATAATGAAGCAGATACGTCGTGAATTACAGTATGGATTACAGTCTAGTTTCATTCTACCATAATAGAGCATTTCACGACAACCACTGAGCCGTGTAGAAACGCTGATTGATTCTGATTGATGAAAGCTTGTGTCTCAGGGACTGGGTGAGACTGAAAGTAAGTTGTGGCTGCATTAGCCTTTGCAGATACACTAATCATACACAATTAATAAATCATTGCTAGTTCAGTTAGTAATTAGAGAAGGGAGGCTACGAAGCACTCGGAGCCGTAAGGTAATTAACGGGCAGGAATCTTAATGAAGAAAAGGTATTCTAAGAAATACACTAGCGCTCACAGGTTAATTGTGCAGTTTAGTTATTAATACAACGCGATGACAGTAAGCAAAAAAACAAAGACCAACAAAACAACCTCAGTTGGAGGAAAAAAGCCTCGCTTATAGTGATGACTTCTGCTGTGCTCCATTTCTGCAAATTTGCTTCAATATTAGCAAAATTTTGCTGACAGAATGCAAGCTGTGAGGGAGGCTTAAAGTTTCCAGACACTCCGGCTGTGGCACACACACACGATCTCAGCACAGAGGGCGTCAGCGCTCTCTCCCCAGCATCCCACATGCTTAGCGCCTCACACACACACACACACACACACAGATATACACACATGCCATTTGCTAGAAAACCTTTGAAACAATAGGGAACATCATTAGCTCACTGGAAAGCCGGCACAGATTGAATAGGCGAGGAGAAAGGGTGTTGTGTCAAATAGTCCAAATGGAAAAGGCGATGCCCACGGGGAGTGTTGCTCAACCTCTCAGTCTATTGACGTGCAGAGAAAAGGGATGGCACTGGGGGACAACAGAGAATAGCTCGTATCTCAGCGCAGGCCTCTTCTAGGAGCCCCTTACGTTACCAGTCCATTTATCTTAACAAAACGCTATTCAAATGACTCCGCCTGATGGATTTGCAAGACTGAATTTTCACGATCTAATCTTTTTAACTATTTTTTCCCGCACCATCAATGCATGACAAAAACTTAAATTAAACATCGCGAACATCTGTCAGTAGCCTTATTATGAATTATAATTATTATAAATGTTACAAAATCTAGTGAGGCTTATGTATAAAAATAATAAGAACTATTTTTTTTTAAGTAGCAAAGTGTGTGGTCAGTAAGATTTTTTTTTTAAAGAAGTCTGTTATGGTGTGTGCAAATTTAATTATTTGCGTGAGTAGATTACATAAAAATTCATTGCAAAGATGCGAATACATGCAAATTTGCGCCGGGCAATGAACATGAAGCGAATTGGGCGACGCGATTGCCACAAAAGTGTGATATTCGCCTCACTTTGGCCTTCCGTGGAAGTTGAACATTTTCAACTCGAGCGGTAAATTTGTATGATGCATTATCATGCGAGCCAGTCAGCAAAGAACTTACTGACACATTTGGTTGTATCAGAAAATGGAAGAGAGCATTATTGTATTTTTAATTTGCGCGAGTGACTTGAAAAACATCCTGCGAGTAAGCTG